CTACTATGTCCGAGTGGTATAAAACATGAAGAAATAAGTCTCATAAAATATGTTAGTGTCCTCCATTCATAAGACGTTGAATAAACGAGCTGGAAATTTCCTGTTCGTAAAATGATGGCATTCGTATAAAAGAATGATTTGAAAAATGAATGGTGTTTTATGTGTCAATGATTTCTTACTTGAAAATAATCATTAGAAACTATTGAAATATTCAATCTGAACAGCCAATATGTTTTGGTGTGTAGCTTATCAACTGAAGTCTTTATCACTGACTACAATTAAACTACTTATAATTAAAAACATCTCACTTCGTATATTCTTCTAGGTTTCATATATTAACCAATCACTAATGAAGAAAAATGGATGGACCTTAATAGATATAAAAAATAGCATGAAAATCATATTTCATCGATTTTAAAAGAGCAAATAAACACACAATTCTTCAAAAAACATACATATTCTCTATTTATTTATTTATTTATTTATTTTTGATTATTATTATACTAACCTACATAATGAATACAAGAAGAGATTACTTACAAAAGTGATATATGAGTAGAAGGTGCTCACATTGTTATTGATGCTATGAGTAGTGGCAGTAGTAAACAAAATATTGCTTTCTGATATATATATATATATATATATATATATATATATATATATATATATATATAGGTTTATTCCTCTCACTGTATTACCGGTTATTAATTGTTTACTCTATTGGCAAACATTTTAAATTATTTGTTAAACCGTTATTTTTTGGATAAACATCAACAAATCTAAGTGGAAGAAAATATAATCAAATGAAGTTAATTTTAAAACGAGATAAATCTAATGTATGTTGTCAAATTATAATGGTAATGAATAAATCTAAATTGTTCTCTTTTCTTCTTCTTTTTTTCTTTTTTAAAAAAAAGAATTCCAAATCTGACACCTCTAAATTCATTGATTATTATCATAGAATTTAATAAACGAATGAATAAATAACTAGTTGACAATAATATAGATTAATAACTTATAAAGAGGATTATTTTATCTGTTTTTAGTTATATTTTCTCAATTGTGCTTTCTTTTGTTTAGTATCTATCTAACTGACTGATAATAAAGCTGAGTTTTGTTGGATTACAGTTGGTAATAATTGAGGAGTTTTGATGCCAAGTTGTTTTGTGTTGTGCTTTTTTTTTCTTTTTAAATACAAAATATGTCATGCATTAGTTGACAGTAATAGTTGTTTGAATAAAAAAATATTCTTAGGTGATAAGTAATAAACTTTTTGAAGGAAAGTGAGAAACTAAAACTAATATCCTAAGCATATTGCAAATCTGTTTCATAAAAAAGAGTAACTATGAACATTACAAAACGTGATGAGATGTCATATTTATTGAATAGTAACTGTTTTAGTGGAGATTAAATGCTGACGAGCGTGAATGATGCATTGATAGCTGTAATTGTATCTATACTCATTCGGTAAAATTTTTATACACTCATAATTTAAAAAGAATTTTTACTTCACAGATCTTGGAGAACCAAAGCTGTTACATTATGATCATGGAATAGTTCACAATTTTCCACATTTATACAACTGAAAAGGTATCATCTTCTTAGCACCAACTTCATTAATTGTACGTAACAAATAAATATTTTCTATTGCGGTAAGAAAATATAACTTATTATTATTAATTACAAGAAAATTTGAAAGTTATCAGTATGAGGTTGTGCGGATTATTAAACTTTTGATTGAGATCGGGAACTGATTGATGCTAGACGACCATTGAAAACCTGGAAGCAGTGGGCGGCCGTTTCGACCGCTTGTGGTACCCCTCGTCAGTGCTCATTCACGGTCCCGCTCGTGGGATTTGAACCCAGGACCTTCGGCCTTGCGCTGTATCTCTAGATCAGTAAGTCGGCAACCAACGGTGTTAATGTTTATCCTCAACCAATCCACGAAATTGCGCGATCATTTGCCATTGTACTGAGATAGATACCTGTTTCTACACGACACGGATTAGCCTCACTGGCCACGGCTTCTTATACCACTTACGAAATAATGCCAAGCTTTATTATTATTGTTTTCAGAACAGTTTTTAATGGTAACAAATGGTTGTATTTAAATTAATTCATGATAAATGAAAATTTAACAAAAAATGATCGTTCATAATTATTTTCAAATCATTAAACCTAACAAGTTGATAATAAAATTTACTTAACAACATATCTACTTACAAATGATATTCACTATTAAGACATTTCATAGAAGCTTTGAAGATGTATAATAACTTGAAAAAAAACTGTGGAATTCAAACAAGAGTTAAGCATAAGTATTCTTGTAAAGAAGAAAAAGTTCCCGTGATAAAACATATATATAAATTGATTTTAAACAAAGTATAAACTTTTCGTAGACATCCTAATATTGAAAAGGTTTTATAAATGCGTTAAAACATTCAAGCATATAATGTAGATATGTACAAAATAAAAGATTTTCACTTTTCTAGTTAGAAAGGAAACTAAAAACGATGTCTTTATTCAACTTGGATTGAGCAGCTCACTCACCATATATATGTATATTCATATGATTGGATAATTATGATTATGAAAACATAAGTTTATGACATTGTTCATGTCAGTTTTCTTTTCTTCGAAAGACTCCACATCTGTAGGATTAGATTTACTCTATTTTCGTTTTCGTTGTTTTGAACGTCTATGTTTGTTCTACTATGTAAGAGTATTCAGGTTCTTTGTAATTCCTAGACTCGAATGGTTTGCTATGGTCTTCTTCACAGATGCATTCCCATAGCTCTTTCGGACAATTAATAGTAGGTCAGGAAGTATTAGAGGCTACAACAACTTAGCACTTACCTCAACGCAAATGTCAAAGTTCTTCCTGACACTGAATTATAATTGCAGTCTTTACGGTCTCTACTTAAACCACCAGCCCCCTTAAACATGTGTTCTTACAAATACAGAATCTCCTGAAACAGCTCTATAGACTTCAAACACTTCTCTGAAGTTTTTCAATTTTTTTCGTCAAAGATTTACTATAGCTCATTTTGTGTATTTTTAGAATAGGGTAGAATACTGATTACCTAGTATCAGCCAGAGAAACTTTATTCAAGAAACGAGAAACGTTTTATTTTAAGGTATGTGATAAATAAAACCAAAGTCGAGTATCCTCTGAGAAACCTTGACATTAAGTAAAAGAATGCGAGCCTTGATAATTTTATTACGTCTACTGAGATTAAGATAATATTGTACATTTTTCAAAAAGTGACTTCAATACTAAACTCAATAACTCTGATTGGCAACAATTAACTGATATGTATAATGAAGGTTGTAATATTTGAATTATGATCATAAAATCCATAAACATTCGGCACTTGTTACATTAACTACAAAATTAGTAACATTGTTTCACTCAAAAATGCATGACTGATGTAATGAAAATGCTGGATATAGAATACACATCAATTCCCAGATAGTAATTATTGATCACTCATAAAATCATTAGAAATCGAATTATAAACACATGTAGGTTCAACTGGAATATACTGGTATAATGTCAATGTTACAAATCCGGTAGGGACTTCAAAGGGCCTAGAGACAAGTGAAGTGGGATTTAATATGAAAATGTATCCGGTGAAAACTTTTGAAACAAAATAGGAAGAGCTATGTTTTTTTTAAAATTTGATGATAAATTCATTTTTCAAGACCAAACATACAAAAAGTACGATTGTATCAGCGTTTTATTCCTGTATGTTAGTTTCATATATTTTTTTTAAAAAATGGCATAAAACTTATAGTTTAATTTATTGCGATTTGTAGAAACGTTTATCTAGACTTCGTTAAGCAAAACATATGGATTACAAGAGTTCGTTAATCTCTTTTCTTTTCGCAAAATTATTTACTGGAATAACACATCCATATGAGAAGAAATTCTACAATATTGTGCTTAGATACTACAGTACAACATAGAGAAATTGGCTTATTGTAGAGAGGAATGTCAGCAGATTATAAACTTTAGCTACATGTTTATAGGATATAGTATACATTGTTTTTGCAATTCTATCATTCATTTCATACTTAGCCATAGAATGAAATTTATAGTACTTGTGTATATACATTTCAATATTATTTTATCGCATGTTTTTCTCTTTTCTTTACCTTACATTATTGATTTAAATGATGTTTTAATGAAGTATTTCACAGATAATAACTAAACTGGGAAGCATGTGTAATTTTCCTTCTGGGGCAAAAATGTTTTTATCCTATTGTGTTAAGTGTAAGTATATTTGAAGAATAATTTGTTATATGTTGTATATGAAATTAATTTACATGAAACAATGATATATATATACCCTACTTTTGAAAATATATTCACTTCTAAAAGTGATTTATAGCAAGAACTATTTATTAAATATAACATGGAAGGCTTATTTATCAATATACAATTCCATAAGATTCACTATTTCATAAAGGAGTCAAGTAAACATGTCATTAAACCCTAATACTGCTTTTATACTTTAGTTAAATAATTAGTTAGATTGTAGTAATACTTTACCTGTCACTGGGATTATTGTATGGAATGACATTAACTTGTTCAGACATGTTTTTGGTTGATCACATATTCTCATTGTTCCGTTGTACTATTTAAACTTGGATTAATTTTAATTTGGTTATTTATTCTCTGAAGAAGTGACTTACGCTAAGTCACGAAACGTTTGAAAATCTCATTTTTCTACTCACTGGGATATTACAAATATACTATTTATTTATTTATAACAAGTTACCTAATGCTCAATTTATTCGAAATTATCAAATCAAACCTTGGTAATGATACCTATATTATAGATTTTGTCTGTTGACAAGAATGAACCGATTTTTCCATCAAAGTAGCATACTATTTTTTTCTTTATGTATTAATTTTTCACAAAACTTTAAACTGAGAAGTATCAAACAACATAAAATTGGTTTTAGGAGTTTGATTATATTATAATAAAACTTACTTGTCTTCTGGCTCTTACTCTGTTAATTACTTTACGTAATTTCAAATTGTGTTGTGTTTCACTAATCGTAGCATAAGAACGTTCTGTTTTACTTGATGATATAATTTGATTAAAATTTATATGTTGTCCAACAAGAGATATTCCTTTATTGTCTGTACGAAATAACCTCCAACTTATTTGACAATACATTACTGATGTAATAAGTAATGGTAAAACATAAAATACAATTAAATCACACATATAAATAGCTTTATAAGCTGTTCGCTTAAATTTAAATGTACACGTTTCAAATGAACCATATTCTGAATATTGTTTAACTGTAGTACTCATAAATATCCATGGTATATTATATGTTAATGTGAAAATCCATATTCCAGTAATAATTTTAATTGCTCTTTTAATAGTACACATATAATGTGCACGCATTGGATAACAAATTCCAACCCATCTTTCAACAGAAAATGCACATATAGATAATGCTGAAGCATCTACACTTAAATATTGTAAACATACACTTAACTGACAAGCAAAATTACCTAATCTCCAATGATTATATGGTTGATAAAATTCTTGTACCATTAATGTTGTACTAGTCATTAATACAAGTAAATCACTAGCTGATAATGAAATAAGATAACAATTAGTTGGTGTATGCAATTTTGATGATAATATTAAAACTAACATAACAAAAATATTCCCAATAACACCGACTGTTAAAATAACTGACAATGAAATTGTACCAACTAATTTATATGGTAAAGAATAATGAATTAAAGGAATTAATGAAATATTTTTATTCATATTTAACAATGTGAAATTATTATTATCCATTTTGTTCTATACTATTTTGTTTGAAATTCTTATTTTTAATTAATTTTAATTAGTGGGATTTTTGAACTTTGTTACAATGTCTGACATGATACTTTGTTTTTCTTTATTTTTTTTTTAAAAAAAGACAAACTCAACTAAACATTTTGATTTATTGTTAGTTTATTCATCGAAAGTTTAAATTTAAAAGCTGAGGGTAATTCTATTGGTTACATAATGAAAAAATGGTTTTGATTGGTTGAATAAGATATTTATAAACTTACTGGATAATAAAAATTAAGAAAAGCAACCTTTGTTGACTTTTAATCCTATATATATATATATATATATATATATATATATGCTTTATACACATAGTTGCCTTTGTCATTTTGAGAAGAGCAAGAATAGCCTGAATTCATTTTTGTTTTGTAGATTCTCGTCAGCTACTTACAACCAGTGATATTTAAAAATCATAATTAATAATAATGGATTTACAATACTTACATGAAAGAGTTTGGTTAGAATTTATATGTTAGAATGAATCCCTAGAAGATATAATGCTAAGGTATTCTCTTCAATTTGCTATTATGTAATAATTCACATTTTTACTAAATTTATATTCCTACGAATAAACACTCGTCGCTTAAATGTTGTTGGACTATGTTCAAATTAACAAGGGCTTCTGCATATTCCGTTATCATATTTAGTTACAGTAAATGCTTACTCTCTGACGTAAACTTAGTTTACGAAATCACAGGTGGTTACATTAGAAAACAGTACCAACTTGAATACAAGTACTACAAACCGTTATTCGTCATCAATAACGGTTTACCTTTCCATACTGGCGCAACCGTTATTAAGACGAAAATAACAACTATTACTAATGATAGTTTATTTATATAATTTTTTTCCATAATTCGTGCTTACAAGATAAAATATAAAAATATGTTGAAAGACAATAACGGCGACGAATTGATTTTGGATGCACTAACATAAGTGAGCATTTCGTTATTTAGTGCACGACAGAGCACCAAAATGTATGCTTCACTCAAACAAAGAGTTAACGTTCTGACGAAGCTAAAGAAGAAATGAAAGTGCATTTAAAAAAATAAGTGGACAAGGACACTATATGGTAGGAGATGTAGTTCAGTTATACATATAACTAAGAAAGACTTCTTTAGTCGAATTGAGTTCCGTCAACTTTTGATCAATTACTACTATTCTGAGTCATATTTAGTAACGTCCAAAAGATTTTAGGACGTATTCTTTTGACTGTAAGGAGTCTAATACGTGTCAGGTGAAAACAGTTATCCACCTCAGAAAATAAATGAACAGCTGCACAAATACATCAATCAGTTGACGTTAGACATCTACACAGATGGATCTCGGCTCACTGGTCTAGAGTTTAAGCGTTCACGCCCGAGACCGAAGGCTCTGGGTTCTAGCACCTCATACATCCAACGAACTCCACACCAACACCAAACGGTCATCCAGTGCTTCGACGTTTTCAATCATGTTATAGCATACACCGACTCATCAACTCAACTATCGAATTCACCACAAACTCCACAAATCCCATTCTCGTCAAAATTGTCTTGTGTGCTATTCTTCATCGAACTGTAAGTATCGCAAACAATCTCATGTCCTTTCGATTGTATCAGAATATTATGACTAGTTCAATATCAGCGTTTCATTACCACCTACTATGTCCGAGTGGTATAAAACATGAAGAAATAAGTCTCATAAAATATGTTAGTGTCCTCCATTCATAAGACGTTGAATAAACGAGCTGGAAATTTCCTGTTCGTAAAATGATGGCATTCGTATAAAAGAATGATTTGAAAAATGAATGGTGTTTTATGTGTCAATGATTTCTTACTTGAAAATAATCATTAGAAACTATTGAAATATTCAATCTGAACAGCCAATATGTTTTGGTGTGTAGCTTATCATTGGTATGTGGTCTGGTACATGACAGCAACCAATTTCCGAATTACCTCAAAGAAATTCAGTAAACATAAATGAAAATATATTAAGTATCTATACTTGTGCTAGTGTTCTTTATATTCGAAAGTTCTTAAATAAACTACAGTTTATGTGATGTATTATTTGACAATTAAGAATCATCTGTGTTGTTAAATTCGAGTCAGACAACAAGCCCTATTACCTGAAGATAAAAACCACTAGATCTCAACCAGAATATCTAAGGTGTAAGAGCTCAGTGTTAGAATTAATGACCCTAGGTTTGAGTTTTCCAAGAATCCTGAATATACACTTATCAGGAGTACCCTAATAAAATGAATTAGTTATTATTATTAGTCGCTTTATTCAATATTATATTATTGGCACAATATAGAATTCTCAGCACAATCTATTTCAACAAGTTTCCGTTTCTTAATTTTTGGTCGATCCTGACGATAAATGTTGAGTGGTCTTCTGTGTGATATTAGTAATCCAGTCAATCGACATCTAAATATTGTACATTATTTTCACTGCATGCTGTCTGCAACCACGATATCTCTGATTGGGCCTTTTGTAACTTGTACAACGAAAGGCTGTGCATTATTGAGAAGGTCACGTGAATAGGTTATGTGATTAATAACCATAATGATATATTAAAAGGAACGAGGAAACAGATAACTTGTTGAAGTATCCAGATGGCTGGAACAGGTAGCCCGGATGTTTAAGCAAGCTGTCGGATAATCATCAGTATTATTATAAAAAATATTAAATTGAGTGAAAGAGTTTCATTTTTAACGAATAAACTATCATGATATGCATTTGTATATTTAAATACTCTATTTAAATATCTTTGTTTTTATTATATTTGTTATGAAAGTTTGATAATGAAAAACGAAAACGCCCTTAACTTGTTAGAAACTGCTTGGTTTGAATTAGAATAATTCAATCCATTAATAATCGAACATCATGAACATATGAGCTGAAGTGTTGATGTTTAGCATATGCTGCTTGACTTGTCACATATACTTTTTACAGCTTTGAAAAAACTATGCGGTTGCTATAAGAGACATTTCTAACTTTACAGTAACTTTATGTTTTGAAAATGAAGCCAGTCAAAATAAATATTTATTCTATAAACGTAAGCTGAAAATCACTAGTTCAACATCAGAATTCTAAATTAATTATTTTTTTATTGTTTTGTGGTGTGTGTTACTTATATCGACATAAGTAGTATATGGTGTTCGTCAGGAACAGAATATCTGGCAGCAGAGATACAAGAGGATCGAACAGTAAGGAATGGAAACAGAATGCAATTTGTATGAAAATGCAAGAACAATGAAGTCTGAGTCATTATGAGACCATTGATGGACATTTTGCAACTTACGTATTTACTATTTGATTGTTACATTTTATTAACAAGTCCTGTAATTTTGTGCTAAATACATACATTTATGAATGCCTATGTGCAACGAATTATTATAAACCTTCCACTACCATATGAACAAAACATTAATGTATATAGATATTATTAACCCGAGTAATACAGATTACATTCAGTCCGACTTGTTTTTTTAATTCCAAAGAAAATCAACTAATTTTTATAAATATTGACAGACATGACGTAGTCGTTTCAACTCGGCGTCACAGTCATCGGAACCAAATGTTTTGATGTTAGTTTGTTAGTGGGGATTTGAGGTAATCATACTATCTATCTGAAACATACTAAACTCAATATTTCTAAAATTGACTTGTCTAGATTTCATTTAAATTATTTCATTGATGATTTTACTAGCGTGTGAATTTTTTGAATTAATTGTACAGTTCTTATGTCTAGGCATAAAAAATAGACGATAAATGTTTTAAAACTTACTCTTCTGTGAATGAAGAGATTGCGATAAAAGCTGATATTAGCTATGTGCTCATTAATGACCCCGCGGCATTAGACCTCTGCTTCTTGACAGAAAAGTGTTTCATAGTATGTGCACCCATGATCTCACCAGTGATCAAAATCAGGAACTGCAGAGGCATTAATTTGATATCAAATATCAGTTGTTTCCAGTAATAATCAACATAAGATCAGTTGTCGATGTAAAGAGAATTATCTTTACAAACCTCCAATGATTCTAAAACCTATTGAAATGTATCACAACACATGGTTCTCAATTATAATTTTACCGACTTATTTATAATAATAGCATTAGTATTTAAAAGTTACATGATGATCGACCTTATTTGTACTATCAGACTAGAGGATAATCAACACTATTTACAATCATAAAACTTATATTAATATGAAAGTAATTATTCAGACAGATTTCTGGAAAGCATTTAATTTTCATCAGAAACTGAAAAGTTTAAAATTTAAGACTTTCTTGATAATTTATTATCATGGGATTCACATTCAAAAACGTTGTATCTCTAATGTTTTATCTGGAGAATTCTGTTTCTCAGTCACGCTTCGATAAAGCAACAATTCCAATATACATAAAGATTATCATTTAGATAATCAGTGATGTCTAGGAGTAATCTCCAAATTATATAGCTGCATGTTATCAGTGAATCAGTAATTTTGGGATGAAAAAAATAATGAAAAATTTCAAATGTTTCAACAGATTAAAATAGTAAGTATGAAAAACAGTCGTTATTTTGCTTCTATCTTCTGAAAAGGATTAATAACCTAACCAACTACATTGGATCAATGAAATTGCTTAGTTTATGAAAGTC